CTGTCAGGACATGGTGTCAAATGGGTATAGTTATAGCAGCTTCTTCAGCCTAGCAGCCCTGGGCCCCTTCATGCTTCTTGCAAAGGCTGTGGGTCGACTATATCAACAAAAGCAGGCTGCAAGACAACTTCTCAAGCTAACGCCTTTCTCTCCAAATAACCATGACCAGGATATGTGCAAGGACCCCCACTCTGCAGAGATGACAACAAGTAATGTTCTATATACTCTTGTCATGGCCTTCAGCAATATAGTGAATTTCATCCTTGAGGTTTCAGTAGTGTACAAGTACTTTCTCCCTGCAGTAAATTGTCCCAGTCTATGCAGCTTACTCGTATGGTAGTATCAGTGTGAAGATGGTACCAAAATGGAAATAATCTCAAAGAACACTGTTTCTTTTTTTAAAGGATGGAAATGAAAGAAAGGTCAATAAATTCTCAAAATGAGAACCATCAATATGTTATGCTAAATACTAATGGTTTCCAAAGGTCAAAAATTTCCCCTGCCTTTATGATAATAATGTGAGCTATACAAAAATAAATTTATGTAATGGGCATAAACCCATGACACATTGAAACATATCAATAAAAAAAGGACATAGCAATTGTTTTAAATAGCTTCTGTTTCTAACATTGCTTATTCACTGCCCTCTGAGTGTCTGTTAAAATCAGGGAGCAGGTCATTCACCAGCAAAAGCAATTATAAAATGTAAATGGCTAAGCACTTATTGTCAAGATTGGGTAGATAAAAAAGGTCTGCTTAATAACATGTTTTTAAGTAGATGACATAATTGGATGTTTGTATTATAAACAATAGGAAAGAATACAAGTCTTTAGCAATTTTTAAAAGGCTGCAACAAAACAATAGGTGAGCACTGTGACATAAATTCTATTAAAAAGCAACAATTAAATTTGCTTCTTGGAAAATGCAAGGCACCATCTTGTGGTTACTCTGGAAGAATGCAGCCTAAAGAGCCTCCGAACCTCAAGTCTAAACCTGCCCCATGCCAGTACCTGAAGTGGAATGTTAAAATGCCATCACAGGAAAGAGCAATGCTTTGCCACAAACCCATTCCCAATTATCCCTCTAAAAAAAGGCAATGAGAGTTAAGGTAGGACTAGTGGTGATTCGTAGCTCAAAATACATCTCAGGTTATCATGTTACTGAAGTATTAGGTCGAGGCATACAGCAAAATCAGAATTATTGGCAGTTATACTAAAACCATACTCAGTCTAATGCTTATGGACCAGCTACTACCATGACTTAAACTCTCTGCAGCCCAGTAAAGCTGCAGGAATTTCTGAAACAGCTCAGATCAGAGATTTCTATTCTTGTTATCTTTACATTATCAGAACCAAAACACGGTTTGTGAAATATCTAGTAATTCCTGAAAATTATAAAAATAATTTATTTTGGGCAAGTGTCAGCCAGTTAAATTTGTTTCATCTTCAAAGACACAGTTAGTCTCATATTAAGTTCACCGTTCAGCATTCAGGTTTTCTAACTACTTCAACAGAACCTGCAGTTGTAAGTAAAATGCTTTTATATGTGACTCTCATGTCTCACATGACTTAAAACTACTGATGTTCACTTTGGGTCCAGCCCTACAAACTCCTAAGAATTTTCAGCGCTCATTCATTGGACATTCTGAGGTAAACCACATAGAATGAGTTTTCTCAATTCAGCTCTGCAGTTTAGTCCTGAATTATTTACTATGAAAAGTAAAATTGATTCTCTTTTCCTCGGAAAATAACCATAAAAGATAAACCAATACCAATGTAGCTATTGTTTTTTATTGCCTATATAATCAATTATAAAAAAAAAACTGTTTCAGAGAGGTTATTTCAACTAATTTTTAGTTTATGATTTCATCATTTAACTCCAGACATACTCTGTTGGTGGTATTGGTTTAGCGTCTTTTTAGATTTAATCTAATATTTTGTACTATAGGAAGCCTCTGACCAGAGCTCCCTAATGAAACAAACAGTTAGGGTACAATGATGCATGTCTCATTTCCCATTTTTTGAAGTGCTTAACATTTAAAAATTAGTAATATGCACATCTGCTATTTTTTCACAAGCAGACTTAGTTCTGACCTGCTGATGGCTCAGTGGGTTTTGAATGGCTATAAACGATAGCAGAATTGAGTCCGTATAGCATTCCTTTCGCACCCATCAGATCTGGATGTTCTAGAAAATACTTAGTAAATTAGGATATTCATTTTTCAAAAAAGCTAGCCATAGCAAGTGTCAGTGATTGACAGTCTAACTCTGATCTTATCAAGGCTTATCTTTGCTTTTGAAAGGTGTCAATAAAACAGAAATTCTTCAGTGTCTGCTGTGGTGGCATGAATGCATGTGTGCTATTTTGCCTACTGATGTCAGTTTTCCAGAAAGACCACAGCTAGGGTCATATGTTGCTATCCAATTTTTGAACACATCAGGAGCATGAATGATCTGAGTCACTTTGGTCACAGAATGTAACAGTTTTCAGCAACCAACCCAATTCTCTCTGCTGCTTTGCTGAGCTCAATTCCTTTGGATGTCTTGCTCCTTCACCCCAGCCAACATCTCTGCATGGGTACATGATGGGAGTAGGGCCAACAACAAAGACGCTAAGAAACACATCTAGATTACGCACCTAAAATCGGTACTGCCTGCCCTCTGCCATACTGGAAGTGCAACGATATGTATTTTGTATATCTTAAAGGCAAATATACATGTTACTATGGCCATTTGTATGCCAGGATACTCCACATACTCAGCAGCTGGAATCTATCTGATTTCTTTTGTTTCCTTAGTTTTTAATGTGATCTTTGATCTTTCCTGTCTCCAAATGCTCATAGGCGTTACACAGATATCATAGATCAGATATCATTATGATTCTAAATGGGTGATCTAATAAATGTTACCAAAACCAGATGCCTTCCCTTTCCCTAAGGGATGGCCGAGGCAGTGTTACCTATAACGTGCACGCACCCCAGCAAAGGAGGTACAGCGAAGGCAGACAGATGACAGTACTTCTTACCTCCCCTTTGGCTGCTGTTACTCTTCCCTCTCCTAGGCAGTGGGGATCTGCTCTATTTGGGGGAGGGAGAGGAAGAAGTCCACTGAAGGTCTGTGGTCCTGGGAGAGGAGCGGGTGACGGTGGTGCAAGGGTAGGCCATGAGCAGGCATCTTGCGATCATTTTGCTCCTTAATTTCATTCAATAAGTAAAGTTCTATAGAAAGGTTACTGGTTTCCCATCAAATTCAGATTAACTGGGCACTGTGGGCTGGGGAGAGGGCAAGGAAGAGATGGGTGACAAGGCGCAGAGAGGGACTCCTTACCCTATAAACTGCTCCAGATTTATTCCTAAATTGTTTAAGTATCTCAATACTTGATGATATGATGAGACCCTTCTGGTACAGGCATTGTAAAAAGTTCAGATAACTCCACACATCCCTATCTCCATCCATTATTAAAAAACAAACAAAAAGTAATAAAAAAAAATAGGGCTTACAGAAACAAGTCCTTAAATAAAAAATTTTGTTTTGTTTCCTCACACAATTTTCTAAGGTCAAGTCATGGTGTCAGTGTCAAGTAAGGTATGCATTCAAACCCTACAAAACACTAAGCAACTGAAGTTACAAAGTTATTATCAAATAGTGCTATTTTTCTAAATCAGTATTTCTTAAAAGTCCAGAAAAGCTAGATCAAATTATACTGATATCCATATGAAATCCATAACCACCTTAGGAATGTATAAAGGTATTGAGATTTACATAGGTTATTTAAGTAAATGGCATTTTTTCCTCACAAATTCATTTCAGAAACACAACACTCCAATAGTAGGTTAACAGAAATGAATCATCCTATAGTGTGATAAATAAGAGCATCTAAATAGTCTTTTTACAATTTAATAAAATGTACTCATGTTCAAATTCTGTTAAGGACCTTACGACCTCACACTGCCTTTGTGTGCCATAGCAAAAATGTCTTTAACAATATATTCATTAAAGGACATTTGCATATCAAAAGGTAGTTTAAAAGAACTGAATACAAATCTTAAACTTTCTGAATAATAATTCAAGTTACAAAAATTTACCAGTAGCATCTGGAAAAATATCAATATAAATATATCCGTTGGATTTACTACTGATTTTATTAAACTAAATTACTAAATACAAATATAGGAATTGACATAGGTCACAAGCTCCTCCAAATAAATAAAAAAGACCTACTAAAACACTCCTCAGTTTCTCTCAATTTTTAAAATTCAAAATATGTCATATCAATAAAATCTATAGTTGGAGTGTAGGTTTTAAATATGGTCATATAGAGAGAGATTTTTTTATTTAATATGCAAAACTGATGATTCCAGCTAAGAATTTTACAAATACCAGTAGTTTTGGCACAGTTAAAGTATGGCCATTGTATAAACTGTAAGTACAGAAAAAATAACACTAGAACTTTCAAAACTGAATGAGTTTAAAATTACTGGACATGAAATCATAATCAGTAGTAAAATCACAAAGAATAATGTGGAGGTAATCTTTTCTAGATGCTACCAGAACAACTTTTTCAAGTGTAAACTTCTGGAAAGAACATTTCTATAGACACATTTTTAGATTTTTGACTTAGAACTACAGACAGTTTTGTTTTTTGAAAATCAGAATTATCTGTAGAAGATTAATTTGTTTCCCATTACAGTTTCAGATTTCTTCTTCATCCATAAAATTAACTGCAGTGAACTTCCAGGAGTAAAAAGCTGTCTTTTTTCAGGCTTGAATAAGAGGAGAAATAGTCACTTGTCCTGAAAGCTGGCTACAATTAAACATATTGAAGACAAATTACAAGCTGTAAATATAAAACTTTGGGTACTCTTTTGTGATCCTTTGTTATATAAGTACTGCATTAAATGATAAATAATCAGTATTCACCTATAATTGCCTACCAGAAGCTTAAAATGTTATGTGAATAGATCATAATTATAAAATTAAATACGAAAAGACAATATTTACCTTTTCCAACTGGGCATTTTTTTTTGATTTGTACAAAAACTCCCCTACTGCCACAAAGACAGAAAGCACCAATCCAGCTGCCAACACGATGAAGATTCCTCCAATGTTTTGAACCCCCAAAGCACTGGCTTCTTTGCTTTCCTCCTCTGGGCAACCATTGCCTCTCCACCATTTCTCCTTCATCATGTGGAGCTTGCCCTCTTCTTGCAGCTGAAGAATTGCTATAGTGATCTTGTCTCTATATGGAGAACCTAAAGAGATCACAGGGAAAATACTGCATTGGTGTATATTTTAAGGCAAGTCAGGTATTCCTGAGATGATTGAAATGTAAGAAAAACATCACAGGAACAACTGCATCCTCTTCTTTTACAGCCATAAGTTATTACGGAAAAAACATGTATATCTAACCATGGTCACATTGCTCACATAAATACAAACCTACAAGCACTCACACACACATACATACACACACAAAACTTGATCCAACTGTTGTTGTCTGTACGCCAGGCAACTTGATGTAACAAGCAAATTATCCCAGCATACTCTATCCCACAGCCTCAAACATCATCATGTCCAACTATTAAACCCAGTCAAAGACCATTCACCTTTCTGTTCACATCAGCCTTTTAATTACACTGCAGTAGAGTTAGTTTCACTTACCTAAATCTACAGGTTATTGCTTCATAATCTAAAGCTTATCCACAGACTGACATTTAAAGAGAACTTTATATTATTGCTTATTAAAAAAGAAACAACAACTTAGTGTTCAGGACTAAGCTGCAGAAGTTTCTATTTGATAGACTGTCAAACGCTTATGATACCTCCCAAGCACTTCACAGAATCACAGAATCGTTTAGGTTGGAAGGGACCTCTGGAGATCATCTAGTCCAACCTCCCTGCTCATGCAGGGTCCTCTAGAGCACGTTGCCCAGGACCATGCCCACATGGCTTTTGAATATCTCCAAAGATGGAGACTCCACAATTTCTCTAGGCAACCTGTCCCAGTGCTCAGTCACCAGGTAGTAATGCATTCAAAAAGATAGAGTTAAGTGTGTTTGGATAACATGGATGTGCATTTGCATATTATTAAATTTATTTCTTTCTCATAATTTAATATTTCCTCAAAATGTCTTAGGATAATTTCACAGCTGCTGAACATTTCAGTATTTCAAAGTGGAGTTTTCAGGGTAAAGTGTTATGTCTCTGTTATGTCATCTGCTTTTCTTTTTCTTCATATAGTGCATACAGACTTCTCAACAAGTACTTTACAATTTATATCAATTAGTAAATGATGGCAAAGCAGAAAGCTTTTCTTTTCTGAATGGTTACGAGTAAATCACATAAGTTAGAAATCCTTTCTATGCTTATATTTCGTGTAATGTTTCAGGAGAGAACAAGGCTATCCTTCTTCTCCTGCTTTGAAAACAGGAACAAAAGACTTTTCATTGAAGTGGTTAAGAACTCCTGGTAAAAAGAGTAGATGAAAAGTCATGGCACTCCCTCTTTCATGTGACATTGATAGGAATGCAGCTCTAGAAAGGATCCCTCTTCCCTTTCTTTCTGTTATAATAATACTACTTACTAGCTATAATTTTATGTAGCGCCTCCATTCACTAATAAAAGGTATTTTCATTAATTTGATACCTCTAAAAAAATTTCCTCAATATCCTGTTAGAGAGATGCTGCTCATCTGACTTTTTCACATATCCTGCCATCTGTGTGGAAGGAGCTGAAGGAATGCATGTGCAGAATATTTTATACCACTCTTGGAAAACATATATTTTCATTTGGAATTTCTCCTCCCTGAACACAACATTCAACTTATTCTCATACATCTAGAACTTCTCATGAGAATGTAGCTGGCAGAAAGTGTTACTGTAACCAGCCTGGAAATAAAACACAGAATGAACCATTAATTAGAAAACACTCTGGGCCTTGTTCCTTTGCTCCAGAATAAAAGGTGGGTAGATTTAACCTCAAAGTAAAGTTGAAAGACCTTGTGTTTTTATCGTATATCTGCTTACGGAAGAGTGGGTTCTGTACAAGAAGCTAAACTGTGTTTAGATAGGACTGTACGTGAAATAGAGAGGGGTGAAAATAACTTCTTCGACCCCCTGGTACATGCAGGAGTCTAAGTCACAGCATTTTAGATTATTCTGATTATGGTGAAGCTTTTTGCCTGTAGTTGACACATTTCTTCAGTCAGATGGGAGAAGGAAAGTGATTAGTCCATAAGAGCCTGGGGAAATGTAAGTGCATGCTATAACCTTTTGGGGATATTTTCAGCACTGCACTGCCTATAAATATTTAACAATAACAACTTAAAGAACATTATATCTGAAGAAATAATTTTGGACCAGTTTAAGCCATCTTTTGATTTGACAGGCTGCTTTCTAATTAAACTCATTTGCATTTTGTTTCTACGCTTTCTGTTGGTCTAAATATAGGTAGTACCAACCATTCTTCATCTATTATTTATATACTCTAGGGGTCAGATTTGTACACCTACAGTTCTAGTCCATTTGAAGTACTTAAACAATGAATAAACTGATGAATTCATAGAAAGAAACCATGAAGCACAAGATAATCCTATCTACAACTAGTTAAGATTACAAGGCTTGCATTGGGAGTATGCGTTCAAAAAGTGATTCATTTCATCAGTATTTGTATCATTTTGTATTGGTAATTTGCAACTTTTTGTGCATGTATTTATGGAACAGACAGGTTACAAAGCCTTTCACGTACCTACTGCAATATTTGTCCCTACGATATCGCATTTTCCTTGTCTTAAAAATGATAATCTTATAAATAAAGGTCAATATGCAGTGTGGAACGACCAGCCTTGAGTACTGCTAGTGTTCAATTAAATATTTAAAGAATATCCCAAAGTGGAAACTTATACCTGTCAAACAACTAGCATTAGATGCTGCAATTCTATTCTATTCCTGAATGACTTACAATGACCTAAATTCATTGATATATATTTTCCCACAAACAACCTGAGAATATCTAATAATCTGAAAGTTGAAAAGTAAGTCACTTTTAATGTTGTTTTTACAAATTCAGATAGTTATTAAAAGAACAAAAGAAGAAAGCACAGCACGACTATTCTTTCCTAAAGTTTTACTTGCTCCTAGATTTTCTCCTTAGGTACAAGCTGGATCGCAAGTCCCAGTGATGGGAAATGCGCCCAGAAGCCCCTGAAGTGGCTAAAAGTATCATGGTCTGATGTTTGGATGATGAAGTTAGCATATGAAGAGAGCAGAAAATACAGAATGCCTGGACAAGGCATCGAGGTTACATTCATTAAAGCTGCTGTTTTTCCTGTAGAAATGAAAAATTTCGGCAAGTAAATACAATAGGTTTTGGTAATTCGGCAGTAATTTTCACTATTACTCCTGTCAACCCGAGTGGAAGGTGAATATAATGGAATAACTCCTTCCATGAGGTGTTGCAGGGAGGTCATGTCTTGTTTGTATGTTTTTTCTAGATCCTGAAATATTATTTTAGAGAGTTTTCTATTCAGGAGACAAAATAAAATCTGGACTAAAATTTTAAAGCTTCCAGACCATGTATATGAAAGCATTTGCAAAATAAAGACAGTATGAATAAGAATAAAGTAATAAATCAGAGATAAAAAAACGAGAGAGCAAAATTATGCTAGATTCATAGAAAGTACATGTAACACTAATTTTTGTGTGAAGAAATGTGAATTTCAAATGTCAACCTATGATGAAAAGAGTAGTTGAAAAAATCTTACTAGTGTGTGCATGGGGGAGGACTGGGAGGGGAGAGACAGACATATTTAAAGCTCCATCCCAAAATCAGGAATAAATATACAAATATCATCTTCCACTGGGTGCAGAGAAAGAGAAATGCAGAAATTTCGGACTTTTTATTCCCCTTCTTTTCAAGGCTCCTACTGCTTTCTTTTCTCTGCCAACTGATCAAATATCCCCGTGAAAGACAGAGTCTGGAAGGCCTACACAACCTAATAAATGTATTATTAGCTAATCCTACTGCACTTGCAGTTTGCAGGAATGAGAATGCCCACTAGAAACGAGTTTCTTCAGATCTTCTATCTTGTTCTACAGGTGGTGGAGACCTCAGTGGTTTCCTATAATCACAGGGGTAAATGAATGAGGCAATGATTTTTATTTGCAGTAACCTGAATATGAAGATTTAAAATAAAAAAGAAAGTTTATTTGCATAAAATTTTATTGTCTGAAGCATCTGTACAAAACTAAGACAACTAAGTTTGAGAAATATTCCAAAAGTTATATGGAAACACCACTGAAGTCTCAGTACATAAAGACTTATGCATATAATTATATGTTTAGCTAAGACTTATGAACACATAATCTTTATATATTGAGGCTTCACTGCATACAGATTAATATGCCAAAATCCTGCTATCTGGCTGGTCTTGGAGATGCTTGGAGTTGTACTGGAAACTGTATACCTATATAACTGAATTTGGCTCTAAGTAAATAAAAAGGAATAGCAGCATTCCATCCAGTCCTTCATTAAGCAAATGCTGAACTAGAAACTTGTTTATATTTCATCATTTTGAGCCATTTTATTAAGAGAAAAAATTTCCACAAATTGCTTGGTATTTTGAAGTTTGAAAGTCGGTGCCCACATTACTAGTTCATACTGAGGGAAGTAACCAGTTCAAGCTCTGGTTTTAGCAGCTGGGAGGGACAAGCACTGAACTCAGCATGTATTAAATGCATTGTCACAAGTAGTAATTAAAAAACATTTGGTAAACTTTTGGGAGAGCTTTTTCCAGCATGAACTCATTTGCAGTGCAGTTACACTAAATAGATCTGTCTGCCCTAAAGCTAGCGTTGAGTACATACCTATATACGCTGCAGTCACGATCTGACTCCAATGTAGGGGTAGCTAAAAATTCCATTAAGGTCTCTGCCTAACTTCATTTATACTACTGAGGATGGGTAGAACCATTTAAGTCTTGGCGCATCTGCATTTCTCCATGTTCTTCTCATACCTAAGGCCTACCAAAAATCACAGACTAAATGTTCTTGCCATTAATCCATTTGTACACGTTGTTGGATCATACTGGAAAATTTTGTTGGATAAACCAGCTCTTTTCTCTTTCCATCAGTTACCATGGCTGATGACGCTTTCCTTTTCCCTATACAACATAAATTTCAGTCTGGTCCTTTGGGACAGGCATTACTTGCTAAGGGATTTACTGGTGACACAGCATGTGAAGTTTAGTTTCTCT